TAGCAAGGGGCTATTGTTCGTCTGATGGCAGATGGGACAGTGAGATGTAGGGAAGGGACAGTTGCCATAGCAGGGTGTGAGCTGGACCAAGGAATCCAGCCTCTCTGGGTTGCTCTCACTTCTAGCCAAGCTCTGCCCACCCTCAGCTCAGCAGCTCCCTTGTCACCAGCCTGTCCCAGCCCTGGCATAGAATCTAAAGGAATGAAATGCAATACTAGGTACAAATCCCAGACTCAGATTTCTCTCAGTTTAGAGTCAGTTGGAGGCCATCCCTGTTGCAGAATCCCTGACAAAGGCTGGAGAAAGCAGATTCCCAATGCGGGGTCCATGGGCTGTAGGCATCACGGGCCACCACTGGGGAAAACAGCTCTAATGGAGCCCAGGGCGTTTGGTTGGGACAAGCCTGAAAGAGAGGAGAGAAGAGGAGGAAAAGAAAAAAGGAAAAGAGAGAAAGAAATGAAGCAGGGAGGGAGGGAAGATGGAAGATGAGTGTGTATGGTGGGGCACGGACAAGGAACACCAGTAAATACCGTCTTTTGAGGGCTGCAAGGACATAGGGACTTGATTAAAGAATTCACACAGCAAATGAGTCAGAATCTGAAGTGCATCAGTCTAACTTTAGAGTTGTTAATCACATGGTGTCAAGTAAAATCCACAAGTATGGGGCTATGTGTGGTGGCTCATGCCCTGTAATCCCAGCACTTTGGGAGGCCAAGGCAGGAGGAAACCTTGAGGCCAGGAGTTCAAGAGTAGCCTGGGCAACATAGTGAGACCCAGTTTCTACAAAAAAATTTTAAAAATTAGTGGGGCATGGTGGCGAGTGCTTATAGTCCCAGATACTCAGGAGGCTGAGGCAGGAAGACCATGTGGGCCCAAGATTTTGAGGCTGCAGTCAAGTATGATTGTACCACTGCACTGCAGCCTGGGCAACAGAGCAAGGCGTTGTCTTCAATAAAAAAAAGAAAGAAAGAAAGAAGAAAGAAACACACAAGTATCAAAACTTAGATATGTATATACATATACTGTATGATATCAATTGTATTAAAATATTAGAATATGAAAGGACATCAACAGATAAAAAATAAGTATAAAACATATATATGAAATGGGACTTATACTCAGAATATATAAAGGGCTCTTACAACTAGAAAAAAATCCCATGACAACTCAATTTAAAAATGGGCAAAAAGTTTAAGAAGATATCTTTTTCAAACAAGATATACAAATGTCCAATAAGTACGTGAATAGAATAGTACATTCTTAGTCTCTAGGGAAGTGCACGTGAAAACCACAAGGACATATCAGTTCCTATCCATTAGTATGGCTATAATGAAAAAGACAGTGAATAATAAAAGAGGATAACAAGTGCTAGTGAGAAGGTAGAGATGTGGGAACCCTCCTGTTGCTGGTAGGAATGTAAAATGATGCAGTTGTTGTGAAAAACAGTTTGGCAGTTTCTCAAAAGGTTAAATATAGAATTATATGAAGTATATAGAAATATATGAAGTATGAACTTTAATATACATGAATGATAAATCAACAAAGCTGTTACTAAAAAAATAACAGATATGTAGAGAAGGAAGTGTGGAAGGATATGCACTGAAGATCAGTGTTTGCTTTTTATGAGCAGGTTACAGGTAATTTTTTTTTCATATTGGTGCTTTGCTGCATCCTCCATATAGTCTACAATAGATTTTATTACTATGGAAATCATAAAATTGGTTATTGTTAGTTGGTTAAAGGAGGCATAGGTGGAGTTTGGCTGTCTCCGCTTTTCTTGGAGGGAGAGAGATGCCTGAAAATCCATCTCTCAGCTGACATGAGTACCCAGTAGGCCAGAGAGGGCTTGGGGCATGGATGCAGAACTATCTCCTATGAAGTGAGAGGTGTCAGAGTCCCCAAGCCGACTCAGTCTCAGGACTGTGTGCTGGGCCGGTTGTGGTAGAAGACGAGCCTGGCCCCCAAGCTCTGGCCACATCTGCCATCTCTCTGCCAGTCCTGATGACGCAGCTGCCTGGCGTCCACCAGAGGAAGGGGCTACAGTTGTGCAGCCCAGATGCTAATGGAGGAAACAGATCTGCCTTCAAGAATCCACCAGGAAATGAATTCTAATTACTCTGGGAAAGGAGCCTCAAGTCTCCCAGTCTCAGAGCTGCCCTGGAGCATTTTGGAGCAGAAGAGCAGATATGAACACATAAACCTCTTTCCCTGGCTTTGCAGATCCTAGAAGGACACTTAGCACAGCACCTAATTTAGTCTAAATCAGAGAATCCTGTGACTGGAGGACCCTGAAGTTTCGGGGCTCCCCACCTGTTCTCTGCAGCAACACACACAGGTATGGGATGGGATTGTGCATTTAGCACATTCTCCTATGTTGTCCTGGTATTGACAGAGCCCTCTTATTACATGGATAATCTGGAATGTTCCCTGGTTAATTCTATTAACACTTTATATTCATTATTTTTAAAAAGTAAATCATTCTTACAATGACATAAAAAGAAAAACAAAGAGACTTACGTTAGAAGAAAAGGACTCAAAACATTTAACAGGCTAGCCACAGTGGCTCCTGCCTGTAATCCTAACACTCTGGGAGGCTGAGGCGGGACGAGCGCTCAAGGTCTGGAGTTCAAGACCAGCCTCAGCAAGAGCGAGACCTCATCTCTACTAAAAACAGAAAGAAATTAGCTGGACAACTAAAAGAAAAAGAATACATAGAAAAAATTATCTGGGCATGGTGGTGCATGCCTGTAGTCCCAGCTACTCGGGAGGCTGAGGCGCAGAAGGATAGCTTAAGCCCAGGAGTTTGAGGTTGCTGTGATGTAGGCTGACACCATGGCATTCTAGCCCAGGCAACAGAGCAAAACTCTGTCTCAAAACAAAACAAAACAAAACAAAACAAAACAAAACAAAACAAAACATATAATAGCTAAATGCATTGTGTGGACCATGTTTGGATTCTGACTCAAACAAACCAGCTGCAAGAAGATATGTTATAGCTAATCAGAGAAATTTCAATATAGACAGAGTATTAGGGCATATTGAGAAATTATTGTTAATGCTGTTATTGCAACCCAAAATGCTCTTATTCATGTATTTTGGTACTTGCTTCCTCTTACTACACTAGAAGAAGGACTCTGTCTGTCTCATTAGAGGGAGGTGGCTATAGAGCATCATGGTTGAGTGTGAACCACACTTGATCACTTACTACATGATCTTGGGTAACTTACTTATTCTCCCTGTACCTGCTTAGTTTAAAAAAATACATAAAATGGGTGAAATAACATAACCCAAATCATGGGTTTGATTTAAAGATTGAATTATCATTTCCAAAGCAGAACAATGTCTGGCACATAGTACACTTATAAGACAAGTGTTTGTTCAGGAATCTTCCAAACCCTGCATCACAATTATATTCTATGAATCCAAAGGAAAGTCTTTGCATAAGGAAAACCCAAGGACAACAGCCCCACCAGGCTCAGGTGGCCCTCGTCCCCAGCAGCAGAGAGTGACAAGCACAGGCAGGGCTGCACAAGCACATACACAACACAAGACAGTGGAGGATCACAGTTCCTGAAGCCAGGCTAGGATCAAATCTTGTCTCTACTACAAGTGAGCTGTGTGACTTTGAGCAAGTCACTCTCAGACTCTCTGTGCCTCAGTTGACACCTTTGTAGAAGGACCCAGAATAGCACCCAGCACGCAGGCTGGAGATGAGCACAGCCAGGGCTCAGCCAGCAGCACCCTCTTCTCAGGGGCCCCAGTACTTAACCCCATCGCTTACGGTTTCAGGTCTGCCGAGTCCTCTTTGCTCTTCAGGCCTCAGTTTTCCCTTCCTCAAAAATGGGAATCTTGGCTAGGTGAAGTGGCTTATGCCTGTAATCCTAGCACTCTGGAAAGCCAAGATGGGAGGATTGCTTGAACTCAGGAGTTCAAGACCAGCCTTGAACAAGAGTGAGAACGAGACCCCATCTCTACTAAAAAATAGAAAAATTAGCTGGGCTCCATGGCAGGCACCTCTAGGCCCAGCTACTCAGGAGGCTGAGGCAAGAGGATTGCTTGAGCCTATGAGTTTGACATGCAGTGAGCTACAACAATGCCACTGTACCCTACCCAGGGCCACAGAGGTAGACTCTGTCTCAAAAAATAAAAACAGGCTGGGCGTGGTGGCTCACATCTGTAATCCTAGCACTCTGGGAGGCTGAGGCGGGCGGATTGCTCAAGGTCAGGAGTTCGAAAGCAGCATGAGCGAGACCCCGTCTCTACTAAAAATAGAAAGAAATTAATTGACCAACTAAAAATATATATACGAAAAATTAGCCAGGTACGGTGGCACATGCCTGTAGTCCCAGCCACTCAGGAGACTGAGGCAGTAGGATTGCTTGAGCCCAGGAGATTGAGGTTGCTGTAAGCTAGGCTGATGCCATGGCACTCACACTAGCCTGGGCAACAAAGTGAGACTGTCTCAAAAAAATAAGTTAATAAAAAAAAAAAAACCACAACAAAAACAAAACAAAACGGCAATCTTGTCTCATTTGCCTCCCAATTAAGAGGGAACAGAAAGGAAAGCGACCATTAGCTAGGCACCTATCCCGAGTCCAAGAGGGGCCTGTCCTGTTGTAAGTGGTGGTGCACAGCGCCGTTTCACGTGGGCGTGGTTCCAAATTTACTCTCCAAGCTACTTTTTCTCAAGAGTTCTGGGGAAAGAGCCCTTCGGGAGCTTTTTTTAAAGCCATGGACTTTGAAACTCAAGATTCAAGAGATAAGGGACCCCCAACAGTGACTGTGTGTGCAGCTGAAGCCCCAGCCACACACTTCCAAACCTGTGCTTGCAGCGGCAATGGCTTTTCCATGTTGCTGATGGAAAATCCACCCTCAGCTCTTCCCGCCAACACCGACCCCAGCTGCAGGATCAAGGAGCCTCCCCAGTTGTGCCACTGGCCAGGCCCCCAGCCCGCCTGAGAGTGGGGACATCCCCAGTGGAGAGCGCTGAACCAACGTACCCCAAAGCTTGGAGTCTCCACCTGACCTGGTGCAACAGGGAGGAAGACACCTCTCTCTCTCGGGCCTCAGCGACGCCTCCCAGACGGCTGTTCCAAGTTCCACAGCACAGCCAGCTCGTTCTCTTCACTAGGCGAGTCCGCAGGGGCTGAATTGCTTCTTGGGGTCCTGAAAGTATTGCAGGGCACGCGGTGACAGCGAGGAGGGGGCTCTAGGAGGCATGGACAGGAGAGTTAGGGTGTCCCAAGCTACTGGAGAAGGCGGAGTGAATCTTGAAACGGCGAGCGTCTCAGAAGGGGATGTTGCGGGTGCGGTGTCTTGGAGCTACGACACGTAAGGACTGGGGCGCAGTGACCCCCTCCCGTGCCCGGCACAGTGCCCTGCGTCTTGCACTACCTGTGCGGCCACTAGTGGCGCACGGCGCTGCACCGCGCTGCCTGCCCCAGCACAGACAATGAGGAGCTTTCAGACGTGGCCGCAGTCCTGGGCCGGCGGGCAGGAGCCAGGGCGGGGGGAAGGAAGGAAGGAGCCGGTTGGCCCCCAGCTCCCGCTACCCTCCCCATCCCCGAGCCAGGGCCCACGCCTCAGAGGAGGGGCGCTGGTCGAGGGCGGACTCAAGAGAGCTCTGCTAAGGGAGGGCACAGGTGGGCTCCGGGGAGTGGAGGGGGGGGGGCTCACTGTTTGGCTGAGGATGTGGGAGGCGCTGGCAGTCACCACTCATCCCACTAACTGACCAAAGAAGTTGTCTCTCCCTCCAATCTCCAGAGAAGGGAGGCTCTAGGAGGACAAAGGCCCTTGTGAAGGAAATCAAAGCTGAATCTTTCCCCTGTCCACTCTGTGGGGCATCCTTGCAGCGAAGTGATTTGCAATCCACACCTGGTCCCAAGCTCCCATGCTCAGCCCTAACCAAATCCAGGCACCTTGATGCCAGGGGAACCACACTGCCTCCCAGTGCAGTAGCCAAGCTGGGAGGGGGCGAGAGACAAGTGGCCTTGAGGAGCTGGAACTGGAGCTGACCCCTCCTCCTGTCCTAGCCCAAACCCAGAGGCACTGGCTTGATAGCAGGTTAGGATAAATACAGGATACGTTTCAACAAACAGTTTTTTCCCCTTATATTTAACAGGGCAGAGCCCAGGCATCTGAAAAGGATAGAACATTCTGACCTCTTGTAATCCGTTGGGGATCTGAAACAAGTAGTGGCTGCTGGGCGAAGAAATTAGCACCGTCTTTCCTGGTTGTGGTTTGGCAAAATGAATTAAGATCTTTAACAATGGTCTCAAGCTTTTTGAATTGGTAATTCCTTTCTAAAATCTTAAAGGAGTAAGCCAGCAACAAGGATTTATACCCAAGGGTCACAGAAGTGTCCTTCATGATACTAAAAAAATTGGAAAGAACACAAACGATTAGAAGGATGTGTGTCAGAAGGCCAACCGTAGTAACTTCTGGGTAGTTGATTTGCAGACAATTGTTTCTTTACGTTTTCCTTAGTTTTACACAATTTACAAGTTTACCACTAGCCTTTAGAACTTACCTGGTCAGAAAACAACAAAATCTCCTTTACAAAGGATAACGTGGGTGTGGGGTAGGGGGCATGAGGAAAAAATATCAAAGAAAAAGTAAAGAAAACAATTCCTTTATGGATCTAACATAATGGGACCTAAGTGGGACATTAGGGGCATCACCCGATTTAAATAGAAACTGGACTCATCATTTAGTAAAATTAGAACTCTTCCTCTCCCAAAATGTTAAGTAAATTTCTCAAACCCTGACTTGGCTCAGTTGATTTAATTCTGTATATTCTTTACCATTTTTCATGTTGTTTGATTTGGGTAAGAAGCTACCAACACCTGGTATGTAAAAAAATTTGATATTCTCCAGACACGCTTGTAATTTTCCAGCCTGTCTTCCACATGGCATGTAGACTCCACTGAAAACTCATTTACTTGGGGTTGGGCCAGGGGATGTTCGCCAAAGAGCTAACAAAAGCTCCAAGGTCTTTGGGCAGAGCCTTGGCAAAGCAAAGCTGCTGGTGAGTAACTGGGAGAAGTGTGCACAGCCTCTGCCCTCCCCATTCCCCCCTCCAAATCCTTCCCCTCTAAAAAACATGAAACCTCCCATTCTGAACATTTTAATTAGATATTTACGAAACATCATGGGCTCTTCATACACATTTTGCATTAGAATAATTTAATAAAATGTAAAGCCATGTTTATACATAATCTTTAGCTATCTTTCCATAGCTCATTACCTTTTAGGGATTTAAACCACAAACCATTTTTCATTTAAATATTAAGAAGAAAATTTAAGCATATAAACAGTTCTAGGGGAAAAGGTGTGTGTGCATGTGGTGTCAGTGTCAGGGAATTTTTATGCTTGAATACTTCAAAATAGCTTTGTTTCCAAAATTCTTATCTTGGTCAGCCTGAAAGAAAAGATGCTTTGAAATAAGAACTGATCTCCAAGGTAAACTGAGGCACACACTGAGGAATGTGTTTGTGAATGGGCATGAAGCATGGATCACAGGGGCTATGTCCTTCCAGTGCCAAAGACATGCTGGGGATCACAAAGCAGGTCCCTGTGTCCTTGGGGGAGACTGCACATGTCCTCAGGAGGAGAATGGGGCTGAACACACAGTCTGTGAGTGCCAGCTCCTGCACACACTTGCTTGGCCACGAGGGTAATCTGGCTGGACTGCTTGTCATTCTGCTAAAGGCCAGATAGGACTGGACTGCCCAGGGTAGTGTCCTTTTTACTCCTTCACTGCTTCTTGTGTCCTTCCCCAAGCTGTCCACTCTGATGGGCAGCTGTCCACTCTGATCCTTCATCAAGGGAAATACACGTCTCTCGGCTTCCCACTAGCCCTACAGATAAACTCGTGGCTGTCAGGCAGTGGGAGCCAATACCAACAACTCCTCTGTCACCCTGTCCTTTTCGGTTAGGGGGGGGGGCTGTCAAGGAGGAGCAGTAGGCAGTGTCTAGGCTGCTGGGTGAGGGCCAGAGAGAATCTGTTGTTACAGTCCTACTTCCCCCACCGTTGCTGAAGGGGGTTGCCAATGAGACAGCACTTGTGACTTCAGCCTGCCATTCCAGGGGCACAGACAAGAGGGTAAAAGGCAGGGCAAAGCCAGCCACAGTAGGGCAGGGATAGAGGGCTGCTCAGCCGAGCTGATGACAGATGAGTGTCTGTTAGAGCAAGGGCAGGTGTATGGTCCCAGGGTCCTTTAGCCACTCACCCTCATGCACAAGCGTGAGCAGCCCTAGTGTTTGTGCCGGCCTCTCCAAAGTTTCAGTTAAAGGCCTCAGCTCTGGAAATCAAACCTCTGAGTGGGAAACAGAGATACCCAGGAGTGGAAAGTGCTAGTGATTTACATATTTGTCATAAGAGCCCTGAAAAGAGTAAAAAGTGATTCACAACAGCGAGAAGAAATGCACGCTGTCTCTCAGTTCAGAGAGGAAAAAGTCTTTGCCTGACCCAAGATGGGACTCTTTCCAAGACATCTGAACTGACCATAATTTTCTCCTGAAATTCAAGGCTAAGGCAGGAAAACAAAACAAAACAAAACAAAACAAAACAAAAATACCCACCAAAGGCAAATTATGGCTCTGAGGACCCCTCAGGCCTTTCTATAAATTACTTCGTGATGGCTTAGAACATACAAAATTTGTGTAGAGCAAAATTGGAAAGAACTGTTTTTGTGTCTGAGGGGAAAAGCACTGAAGAACAGATGTCCACTGGCTCTTGCAGAAATGTCATAGGATGGCAGTTCCTAGAAGACAACAGTGAGGTAGCATTGTTCCTGCTGTGTCTTCAGAAATGGTCTTCTTAGGATAAGTGCTCCTTATACACTTCTCCATGGGGCATTGCGTTTGCAGGGACTGTGGTCACCACCTGATTCTGAAACACGAATATCTTGACTCTTTCAAACACCCAAAGGAAGATGATCAGGTTACTGAAATACTGGACCCAGGCAAACTTCATCATGTCCCAGAATCCTGGTTGATAAGTACAGACAGTTAAGGAGTCACACACCACATGTTGCAAGTCAAAATAAATCAAGGTTTAGGTCAGGCAGGAAATGGCAAGAATGTTTCAAATACCCTTAAGAAAAAAGGGACAATAAAAGATTATTAAGACAATGAATATGGATCAATCTGACCTAGAAGAACAGCTAAGAAATATGAACAGGAAATGAATTTTTTTTCCTGTATGAACAGCAGACAGATACAGTCCTTTGTGTGGTGTTGTATAACACTGTAGCAATTTCCAATCTAAGGCTTCCCACATCTATTCCTACTTGGGACAATTGAGGAATTTTTCCTTTCTTTTGGGAAACTGGGCTACCACTGTCTCTCTAACAGAATGTATGTAAATTGACTTCCACAGGGTATTGAATGATGGCATCAATCAGGAATGGAGATTCATGGGCCCTGCTGACCAGGAGGATGGTGTTGGGGTCATTCTGGATGGTGGTAACTGCAGTACAATCATTAACCATTAATCCAGGATGAGGATGGTCTTTTGGTTAAAAATATTGAGGGATACAAATATTCATTTATTCCTACAGGATATTCTGCACCATGGAAGAGAAAGAATTTATTTAAAAGTATAGAGAAATAGCATGCAAAAGTTGCTTATACAATACTTGTTAAAATATTTGTCAAAATACTTATGTTAAAATATGTCAAATAATTCAGGGTGGGCACGGTGGCTCAAACCTATTATCCCAAAGTGATTCTATACTATGATAATAGTTATAATAAAAAATCCACATAAGAATAAAGAATGAAAGGAATAAAGAAGAAGAAAATGTTGATTTGTTAGTGTTTTTAATTTTGTTTTAAAATTTCCTCTATTATTGTAATAATGCTGTTAGTGTATTATATAAAATGAGTAAATAACACTGGAATTGCAGTCCTCTCTCTCCTGAAATGTCTGTGTGTACTATCCATGTTGTCTGGTTGCCAAGTAACACCTTTTTCTTTTTGAGACAGAGTCTCCCTAGAGTGCCTTGGCATCAGCCTAGGTCACAGCAACCTCAAACTCCCAGCTCAAGAGATCCTCCTGCCTGAGCTTTCCGAGTAGCTGGGACTATAGGCACTTGCCACAATGCTTGGCTAATTTTTTTGTTTCTATTTTTAGTTGCCTGGCTATTTTTTTCTATTCTTAGTAGAGACATGGTCTCATTCTTGCTCAGGCTGGTCTTGAACTTCTGACCTGAAGTGAGTCTCCCACCTCGGCCTCCCAGAGTGCTAGAATTAAAGGCATGCAAGTAACACTCTAGATGCCTTTAGAGAAACCTTTGACCACTGACCAGGCAAACGTGCTGAGTCAAGCACAGGCAACGGCCTGAGAGCCTCCTGCTGTAATGAATGAACACGCTCTGCTCTGCCTTCCAGTGGGAAGCTTGGGCACTTCTGTCTTCCTACTGGACTGCCAATGTGGGGTGACTCACTCACATTCTCTATTTCTCTGGAAAAAACCTCAAGTAGGCTTGTATTTTTACAAAAGGTAACTCATCAAGGCAGGGGTGGGATAAATATGGCAATTAATCATCACTAACCTGCTGGCCCACAGGAGGGGTGGAGGAGGGGGTGTTGCAGGTCTAATTATCAGGACAGAAAGGACAGATCCTGGGTAGTCTGTTGGCTCCCATCACTGAGCATTTGCTGGTTCTGACATTTTGATCATGACAAGGGCTCCAGTTCTTTTTGTCTCTGTTGCCCCGACGAACCTGAAATGTCCTTGGGCGGTGGCTGAATGCTTCCCACCCAGGACTCACCACCATTCCTTTCCTGGTAGGCAGCAACAATGTGGGTGAGGTCATAGTCACAGGCAAAAGGGATGGTCCCGTTGATCACAGAACCTGGACACAGCAGGAGGATGTGGTGTGAGCCCTCAAGAGGCTTCTCCTCTCTTCTCTCCTCTGTCTACCCTCCTGCCCACCCAGGCTACTGCCAGAGAGCCCCCTTCTTGATCTTGGTGGCCTGTTCCATTAGCAGTGAACTTTTCTTCAAGGACGAATAAACTCTCCTGTGACAATTTAAGTCCCTTTACTCTCAGTCTTTCCCTCTGTGGGGATGGAAATAAGGGTCAATGTCCACCTTTCACAGATTGTAATACTATTTATGAAATATCCCTCTTTACTACAATGGGAGAAATAGTTTCTTTAATTTTTTTATTAGACCATGTTTCCAACTGGTTTGTCATTTCCTTAACCTTCTCTAAATGCTAATGTCTTTATCTCTTTTAAATGCAGAAATGGAAATAGATAAAATGCAAACAGTAAGCATATAATCTCTTAAAGAAGGAAATGGTGTCTTGCCCTATAATATCATATTCCTATTAATGTCATATACAAAATAAAATAGGCCGGGTGTGGTGGCTCACGCCTATAATGCTAGCACTCTGGGAGGCCGAGGTGGGAGGATCGCTGAAGGTCAGGAGTTCAAACCAACCTGAGCAAGAGTGAGACCCTTGCTCACAACAAAACAAAATAAAATAAAAAGTGCCGATGAGTTTATACATTTTATGTGTATACAATAAAAAGTGCCATATTAAGTTTATTTTTTTATTTTTATTTTTTGAGACAGTCCCACTCTGTTGCCCCGGCTAGAGTGCCGTGGTGTCAGCCTAGCTCACAGCAACCTCAAACTCCTGGGCTCAAGCAATCCTTCTGCCTCAGCCTCCTGAGTAGCTGGGACTATAGGCATGTGCCACCATGCCCGGCTAATTTTTTCTATATGTTTTTAGTTGGCCAATTAATTTCTTTCTATTTATAGTAGAGACGGGGTCTCCCTCTTGCTCAGGCTGGTCTCGAACTCTTGACCTCAAGCAATCCTCCTGCGTCAGCCTCCCACAGTGCTAGAAGTTTATTCTCATGGTCCCTCTCACTTTATAACTTACATAGATTGGAGCTAGGGTGGCTTTAAATCCCAGTTTATATGAAACAGTACTGATTTATGGCTGAAATAACTGGTAACATCCCTCCTTTACTTTCAAAAGTAGCTTGTCCCAATTGATATGGTCCCTCGTGTTGTCAAATAAAGATTTGAAATAAGTGATTGGATGCATGCATTCTGGACTCAGAGGAACAAACGCTGCTGGCTGTTACTTTCAAGCTTTGGGCCTCTGGGAAAATAATCTCTGTGCACCCCCATTTCCTCCCGTGCAACATGGGAGTTCGTTCTTTCAAAAAAATCTCTTAGAGCTTACCAAGTGCCAGGCACTGTTTTAGTCACTGGGGTGATGGTATACAAGATGGCAGTGCTGTTAGTGCTGAGGTAGACAGCAAATACACCAAAAACATATCTTTAGTATGTCAGGTGGCAGTAGGAAAAGTCAGTCTGGGTGAGAGAAGATGGAGAGAGGGGAACGCTTTTTAGAAAGAAGGGTCAGGGAAGGACTGTGCTCAGGGACACTGCAACAGGGACATGCATGGAAGGGTCCAATAAGCAATGTGGATCCCTGGCAGGGGGAACAGCAAGCACAAAAGTGCTGAGGTGAGAGTTGCTTCCTGGGTTGGAGAAAGAGCAAAAACGCCAGTGTGGCTGGAATGGAGCCAGGGGGACAGTGATAGGATCAGTGGCTGGAGAGCTGGGCAATGACAAGTGTAGGCACATTGGAGATTGCTGTGATGATGAAATGAGATGATATATGTAAACCACTTCACTCAGGGCTAGTGTGTTGTGTTACCTGTTCAATAAAGTATGACTAATATTACTGTTAAATTATTTTACATGAGCATTTTATATGATCACTTGGAATAATCTTGTGAGTATCAGGGGGAGAGCCAGAGAAAAGAAAGAGAATGACAGAAAAAAAACCAATCTGAAAACAAGAAACAATTACAATTTAGTTATTTCACAAATTCAGACTGTTTCCTCTCTCATACCAGGTGTAAATACAGGTGCATCTTGTCCACACTTTGAAAAAATTCATAGCAAAAATTCCTCAGACACCCTCTTCTCAGCCACCCACAGAGAAATGCTGTTTCTACCTTTCATTCCCCCTCTTCAAAGAACTTGATAAACAGTGACATAAAGAAACAAAGAAGCTGGACAAGAAACATTCTCACGTTGTATTGGACATCTAGGCCACCATAGCTTAGCAGCTGCCTCTGCTGCAACCTCAGGTCTCCATTCACATGTAACCGGGACCCGGGAATGGCAGAGGAGGACTGGAGGAACACCATGCTCTGCATCACAATCGTAGACATCCTCTGAAATCAGCACAAGGAGAGACAGTACCAACTGCCGACAGATATGAAGGTCTCTGGGCTCTAGGAGCCACCAGTCTTGGCTAAAGCCTGACAGGCTCTCACATACCTAGTGTAGCTATATAGGAACCCTGTTGATAGCCCATATAAACTAGTATGACCCCAGTGAAAAACATTCGACTGGCCTAAGTTACATCCCAAACTACACCCCAGGAGAGAGTTTGTAACAGTATGGGTCTTCCTAGCAATCAGAAGGAGGGCTCTATTCTATTGAAAGACAAAGGGAGAGGATGGCCTCCCTAAGGTACCAACTCACGTGCAGTTGGCAGGAGAACGTCAGGATCAGCTGCACACCAAGAACGTGCTCCATAAACTGCAGGGGAAGCTCCAGTTTAAAATGCAGCCTGTCCATTTTCTCATCCTGGTTCCTGTCTTCTTCGCTTGTCCAGGGAACACAAAGAAGGCCAGCGGCCCTGGTACTTAATAGGTCTGTGAAGAATCCACATTACTCTGGTGCAAACTCAATGAACCATTGTCCTGCCATACACAGGCATTATTTCCTTCACCACGAGAAAGAAACATAAACTAAGTGCATCATTATTGGGGAAAAACACAGTGTGCATGGCCCTGAACTTCATACTTGTATCTTTGACCAGTGATCTGGTCAAAATAAATGTGAACTTAAAGTGGAAATAACGACAAACATCTGGATAACATTTATCTCTATCAGTGATCTCATTTGATCTGGTTTATTTGTACTGGTGTTTTTTTTTGTTATAAACATGCTTGGTTTGTACAGAAAATTTAAATAGCAGATACAATTGTCTTCTACTTCTTTGCAAGGCAACTTTTTAAAACAGAAAAAAACTAATTCTAATCATCGTTCATTCCCCAAACAAACTCAACAGAAAATCACCAGGCTCTATTTATACATTCTTACACCACAAGTGTCTTTGCTGCAGATTCTTGATGTTGGACCTCATCCATCATTCATGTCAGGATTTTAAAGCCTTGTGCATCTTTTAGTACCACTCAATAACATGAAAAAGGAAGCTAAGTAAAATTGGCAAAGCAGCAGACCACAGATATTTGATAAATTGTGGACAGGAAAGTAAGGAAACCAGGGAGAGATCTGAGGAGGGAAAAAGACAAATTGCAGCTTAGGCAGTGTATGGCGACAGCATATGTAGGCATATGAAATGACTAGCAGGAAAGGACAGTTACTGAAAGGTGATCACTGCTGCCATGATTCCTCCACACAACTCTGGATCTTGTGCTACATCCATGGGTTCATTTTGCTTTCCACCATTACCATTATGTGAGGAAGAGATTTTTTGTTCTATTTCAGGCTAATAAGGTCATTGGGGATGTAGATATCTCAGTTTTCAGAACCTTTCAATCATTTCTTTTCTCCCAGACAATAATGTCCTTATCCTAGGCTGTCTGTTACAGAAACCTACCCTCCTCCTACTTCTGTTGGACACTATCCTCTCTGTCCTGTTCCATCAGCTTCCCAGGTGGAGGGGTAGGGTATCTGCTCCCAGGGCTGATGATCAAGTTTCTCAGACAATTATGTACTATAAATTATGACTAGGAGAGAGGAGGCCTTGTCTTCCTGCGAATTTTCTTCAGTTGGTGTCTGGGAAGACTTGGAAAACAATGTTAACTCTCTGTAATGGATCCACGTCTTCTGGGTCTTTAGAGGATCTTTTCAACTATCCTCTTGAGAGAAGATACTGACCAGGAGAGAATTTCCAGAAGAATTCAGAAAACAACACAGTGTGGGAGGGAGACAAACTCATTTCATTTCATCTTTACAATAAATGTAAAGCCTTATTAGGTAGGCAGAACAAGTAGTATCCCCATTGCATAACAGAGAACATCAAAGTGCAGGGACGTTAGGGCATTTAGCAAATGGTGAACAAAAGATTTGAGATCAAGTCTTTGACTTCAAATCTGGTCCTCTTTCTAGGACTAAAGTGTCCAGACTTTTAAAAATAATTCAAAGAGAAGATGTGGGTAGGAGAAATCTTGCAAAAAGGTAATGTTAAGGATGTAAGTCTGTATACTTGGCTGTGTGCATACTTTCACTTCAAGTTCACAGAGAGGAGAGATCTGGCAGAGCATCACAAATAGTATCTACTTGTTAAATTGGCTCATTAATCTGTCAAGTACTTTTTGAGGCCCTACTATGTACCAGGCTATATTTCAGATGCTAGGAACAAGAAAGCAAACAAAATAGACAAAGTCCCTATCCTAACAGAATTTACATTACTAGCAGAGAAGGCAAAAAATAAATCAATTTACAAATAAACATGCAACAATATCAAATAATGCTAAGTGCCATAAAGAAAAATGAAGTACACTAAAATCAGAGAAAGATGATGGTAGAGTTTAATAGAAATTTTTTCAGAAGATATTTGGTACAACTGGACTTTTTCTTTTTCATTGTCCATAACAAGATAGCATTTTATTTTTATTGATGTGGATGAAGTACAATTTATTTAGCAAACTCAGCAAGAATTGTTAAAGGGGCAAAAATGTACATTTAATTAAAAAAGCAAAAAAGAAAATGAAAACACGAAATCTAAAAAGTAAATAGAGGTTCTGGGTCAGCACAGGGGTATCAAAACACACATTTAGGGAGGGGGGCGGGTATATACATATATAATGAGTGAGATGTGCACCATCTGGGGGATGGTCATGCTGGAGACTCAGAATTGGGGGGGGAGAGGGGAAATGGGCATTTATTAAAACCTTAAAATCTGTACCCCCATAATATGCCGAAATAAAAAAAAATAAACAAACAAAAAAACAAAACAAAACAAAACACATTTACAGTAAGTCTTAAAATCCTACAGGAAACAATCCTTGCTTATCAGAGATGCATATCTAAATATAATAGCTTGTTAATATCTTCTTGGGAGTAGGCCAAAAAGAAAGAGAAAACACCACATTAAATAAAAAAGGTTCTCTTCTCTAAACATTGTTTTCCTGAAGCTGAATTTAAAGGGGAAAGGGAGTCTACAAGCCAAGGACATCTGTCTTCCTTGTCATTTTCATTGAAATTGTTGTCGCTGTCCTCCCTCACCTAGGACACAGGAGTGCCCACCATGGAGCTGCTGTACTGAGATACTTTGGAGCTTACAGCTAGAATCCCATCTGCACCATTGGTCAGGTTGATTGCAGAAGGCCTCATGGTGTTGGATGTGGAACCTGTCACTGTAACCATGAACACACTGCCAATCAATCCCTGCTCCATTCTGTCACATACAGTTCCAGACATTTCAGTACCAAGGATCTTGCCATTGTAAGGTCTTCAGGGGAGCAGTCCTGTGACTTGAGCCCAAAAGCCACACCCATTTGCTTTAGCACTACTATGTCATTGTGAATTGCAAATGTGTTGTCAAAATAAAACAAATACTCAAAGTTGTTGGAAATGCTGCAGTTGGTGACGATGTTCTTGCTGGTGTTGACAATGACAAAGGGCAGGTGGATGATCAGGTTGGGCAGGGGTAGCTGGCTGACGTGCTGTTCCACTTGGGGGTTTCTCTGTACCCCGCTCTTGAAGGCAATTTGCTGGAGAATAGGTCCTTGAAGTTGAGACTGTTTCTTTTTTATTCTTTCAAGTCTTCTCAGTTTCTGTCTCTAAATTCTGGCATTCCTCAACCAAGCTGGTGGGCAGACCAATCCATTTGATTTCCTTCTGCTTGGAGATGATGTTCGTGGCCATCAACACATTTAAGGCAACATAGATTCACCATCTTCTGTTTTTCTGCGCACAGGCTGATTCGTTTGATAAAATATGGTTGTGGCAACACTTAACTATGCAACCAGCTCATCTGCCAATTTGTTACAGGCAGTGGTTCTTTTCCTCCTTACCTTCTCACAGACCTTCATGGAGAAGTGCTGCAGGCCCTTGTCATTCTTCTCTCCTTTCCTGTTGCGTTTCCTGGCAAACCAAGGTGCAGAGTCAGAAGGCTAGTTCTAAGAAACAAAGTGAGCGTTGGGGATGTGCGTTTGTCCTACCATGATCATACGTGATGCCGCAGGTTTCTGGGGCATACCAATTACCACATACAGGGCAAAGTTGACACTGGACTCATTGAAGGTTTTTGGCAAGAGCGGCTTACCAGGCAGGTTACCACATCTTTTCTAGGACTAAGATTCTAGGACAATTTAGTTCTCTGCTGGCTTCAATAAGAATGGCATTTTTTGCCATGTTACCAGATTCGAGAAATGGATGCCATAATTGTTCACCCTTCAGAGAACAAAAATCATTTTTCCTGGGCTGAGCCTGACTTGTTGGAAACCTGAACGAAGCGAGGTGATGAGGCACTGGAGTGCCGGGGAAAGAGTGAGCCAGGCCAACCGCATGCATTAGGTGCCTGCAGGGCTGGTGCTGCTAGGAAGAGTGAGGGACAAGGAAAGAAGGGCCAAGAGAGCCTTATAGAAAACTGACAGTGCAAATGGTGCATCTCCCACAAAGGACCTGTCACCAAGCTAGACTCCCACTCCATGGGCAGTCAAGGTTGATATGTTACCACTTGGTTCACTGATAAAATCAATCATTTAATTCCGTTTAGTTCAAAGTAAGCTTTAACACATGCATAACAGCTATAAAGGAAGGCATCCAAAGAGCTACTACTTCTTTAACACAAATTCTAAGTCAATATCTAAAATCTAATGGGTGCCTGGCTAAGAGAATTCACAAATCACACCATTACCTTATTTCTATGAGGTCTATGTACAATTTGGAACAATTTTTATATCCACTGATTATCTGATCTGATCCCTCCAAATATCACAGGAGAAAGACAGGTAGTATCCTGCCCTGTATATAAACAGATAAATTGAGGCTGAGTGTATGGAAACCAATGACAGAACTGAGACTAAAACCCAGGTTTGCTGGCTCTTCATTTAGAGCTCCTCATGAGAACCCTAATTTCTAAGATTTTTGGTGGTTAAAGGAGGATAACCTTTTACAAATAATCAACACTAATGAAGTACATAGACAAATGCACTGCAGTCCACTTGTATAATTAAGGGTTGGTCAGAAAAAGAGAAATGAAAACAGTTATTCTAATAGGGAGAATTTAATATAGGGAGTAATCAATCTCCCAATGGTATTAGAAGAGAGACGAGGCACAAAGGGAACGCTGCAGAACACAGAGGGAGTAAATGCAGGGAGCAGCCCCCACACCCAGCGCTGGAGGAGAGAGGGAAGGGGTTGTGAGTGTTAGAACCTAGAGGCTTGAAGGAAACAGGTCTCAAGGAGCTAGGACTCAGACCTCAAGAAGAAGCACTGCCTAGCTGCTGCCAGGACCTCCAGAGCTGGAAGGAAGGACCCCCTAGACGGAACCTGTGGGGCTGGAGGAAAGAGAGACAGTCTTACTTCCTGTTTGCTTCTTGTCCCTGTTTGTGTCACCTTGCCTGTGGTTCTTCACCCTGGCAACTGGCTGCAGTTTCTGCCCACTCCTAGAACCAGGCTCATCATGCCTCCTACTGGCAGAACCAAACGAGGAGCCAGCAGGCAGAGGAGCATGTGGTTTCCAGCATCTCAGCACCAGCATCAGGAAGCAGAGCACAGGGGAGGGTCTGTAGCTGGGACAACACCTCATAACCAACACACCCGACTATCCCAGTTGCTGTGAATTTACGATGTGCCATTGTCTCCAGTGTCCTGACTTGGAACATTTTTCCCATTAGCGATTCCACAGTATCTGATGGTTTGTTTGAATTTTGTTTGGTTTCTGTTTTGTTTTTCATACCTTTTATTTACTGGGCCTTTGTTTCCAGATCATAGCTGGAGACCCATAATTCACCTCTGGTTGTGACTTTCTGGAGGAAATCTGATTCATTGGTAGCGGTTTGAAGCAAGTCATTGGCAAATGCAGCGCAATGTTCTTTCTGTTTTGGAATCAGACGCCATGGAACGCTTTTTGTCACATGTTTCATGCCAAGATCCTGGGGGAAAATCTTGGATAGTAGTTTTTGGAATCCCCAGATCAGCTTCTAGTTCTTGCACTGTCGGTCCCTGATCTTTGTTGACTGCAGCCCATACTCATTCAACATTCTCAGGTGTTCTGCTTGTTGCAGGCCTTCAGAATGTGCATCACTTTCAACAGATTCTGGACCATCTTTGAAGCATTTGTGCCATACTTTTATTTGCATTGCACTAATTGCGTCATCCCCAAAAGCCTTCTGAATTCATCCCAATAGTCTCCTTGAAGGAATGTTCAAGTTTAATGCAAAATTTGATGAGGATTTGTTGCTCTACTCAGCTCAGTCATATTGAATGTGACTGCACACAGTACACATGCTCACTCAATGGTGTCTAGCGTCTCGCCAACTAGTACAGTGAAGTCATCATTGTTCATGCATGTGCATACCGGTCCACTCTCCTTGGCCACCAGGTTCCATCGATGTCACACAAACCATTCTTATTATATTAACAATGGCTGTATACTTTCAGGACAGACCTTGTATACCTAAAGAAAAGCATACACACCAAAACGCAAATTATGGTTATTTAGGAATGGGAAAATGAAGGATTTTAAATTTTGTTTACTTAAAATTTCTAATTCATATAAAATATACATGTATATATTTAAGCATGAGCCTAAAAACTATTTATTCTCATCCCTGTAACTATATCCTGTAACATGAGCTAAAGCCAAAGCCAAAACAAAAACAAAAGAAATCCCCCCACAAATAGGTTTAAAAATAATTTATGATATCCTATTACTCTGATTCTTATTCAGAAAGTTCTAAAGGAGAAAAAACAAAAACAAAAAACAGAACACAAATCAGGTACTTTTCTAAACAAGAATTCTTGTCAATCCTCAAAGTAATCACACCCAAGTAAGTTGAAGTAATTAATCAACCATCTAGCAATGCTACCAGCCAGGTGATAGCTGATCAGAAAGGAGCAGTAACTCTAAAAGACAAATATTTGGCTTTTCCTAGCACCCTATCTCACAAGCTATTTCTCACAAAGCTTAACATGGCTTCTGTGAAGCTACTGAAATAAATTCTGACTCAGGATTTCAAACCAGATAATAGTGGTTTGGGGTGAAAAAAAACCAATAAATGAAAAAAGCACTGGTGGTTAAAAGCCACTCGTTTTTCTTCATCCCACTCAGATGTGTTTCTAAAATGGGTCTTAAAATTAACTGACTTCTCATACTAAGTGTTTTTGACTGATATTTTAATGTCTAATGTAAAAAGAAAAAGTCTCAGGAACATCTCCCCAAACTCCTTATGCAAAAGAGAAGGTAAAAAAGCCTCAGGTACCTGTGAAGAAATGGCCCCACAGATGACTTATTAAGGAAATTCCTTGCTAACCTCCAATAAGCAAGGACATGTAAATTGCACCTATGTCCAGCACCTAAAACTAAAGCCTAACCCATTCTATGCTAATAATGAATTATAAGCTCTTGTTTTTGTCTTTTTTGAGACAGGGTCTCTCTCCCTTTGTCCCCTGTGCTAGAGTGTAGTGGCATTATCATAGCAACCTCAAATTCCCAGGCTCAAGTGATCCTCCTGCCTCAGCTTCCCAAGTAGCTGGGACTACAAGTGCACACCACCACACCACGCTTGCTCAGGATGGTCTCAAACTCCTGGCCTCAAGCAGTCCTCTCACACTGGCCTCCCAAAGTGTAAGGATTACAGGCGTAAGTCACAGTACCCAGCCTACAAGCTTACCTTTGTAG